TTTTTTTATTTTTTAACTGTTTAGTGAAAGTCAATTATACTGTTCACTTGTAACCAAGATTTGATAAAGAATTAATAAAAAAGGAGAAGGAAGGAGGAAAGAATAAACTAAATCTTGCAATAGCAAATGGAGCTTTTATTGCCTATTAAATGTCCAAACATCTATTCTTATGTGACTTTGCACACACTAATTGCTGTCAGAAAACAGAAGTAGGTAGGCATGGTTCCATCCACCGAACTACACAAATACAGTTGCAGTAATTAAAGTTTGTTTTTTCTACCCATTATCATTTTTGAAGTTAGAATGAACTTGCTTTGAAGGAACATGTTTGCATATGGGGAAGCAAATAAAGTGTCCCTTGAGCAAAGTGAATACAATTGCTCTTAAGATTAAGGGGATAGAATATGGTATTTCATTAACACATTTCCAGAGTAGGGTTTTTGTTGGTTAAAAAAATATATATATCTGAAGAATTTTATGTAATCCTTATATAAAACAATTTTCAATATGTATGCTCAGGTATTTTCCATTCTATTTCTATGCATAAATAATATACTAATAAACACAAACAAGTGTTTTTGTGGGTATGTTATATATTCTTTAATCTGATTAACTTATTTATTCTTTCTGATCAAGCACGCAAGTCATCAGAAGCATCTGGTAGGAAACCACTTTTTATAGAATAATTAATGCTGCTTTGTTGCTATTGGTTTCTTATGAGGTATTTTGTGGCAACTAGAATGTTTTATATTTAGTTTACTGAATATATTTGTAGTACAGCATGTGGGGTGGGATATTCTTAGAAATAACAATTATGAGCTCTATAAAGAGGTGGTTGTTTGAAACGGGTGGCAGAGGACAAACTATTGCACTCTGTTAGATTTACCCTTTGCATAGGTTTTGAAGGGATTATACTATTCTGTTATTTGTTGATAGAATTTGGTATTTTCATGGGTAATTTGCCTCAGTTTCCATCCTGTTTTGTGCTTTCTGATATATACTAAATAACACTTAAATAGAACAATGCTTTCATTAAGATAAAAGAGGAAAATGGAAATAATTTAAAAGAGGTTAGGGGTCCCATGAATTATAATCTTTTCAGTAAAAAATTTTAAACTATTATTACAAAATAAGATACTATTAAGAAACATATAATTCCTTATAGTACCTAATAATTGCCCTTCCCCTAATAGAAAAGTTTAGAGGAATAACCTTTCCCTTGTTCCCTACATAGATAGTAATCAAGATTTAAAATATTCAGGTCTCTAACCTCCACTGTTTTGCCTCCTTACTCTGGCTACCCTTTTCCTTAGCAAGTGATCTTGCCTCCTGTTTCGCTTACAAAGTCTAGTAATTTCTGTTCCTTCCCATACATTGAAAAGCATTAAAGTGTCAATTGCCTCAATGGTAGAGCACACTTCATCCTTCAAACTGCTGCCATACACCATTCCTGCAGCTCTTACAAGTCAGCTATATTTCCTGAATAAACCATGCTCCTTCCTCCATGCCTTTTATACAAGATCATCCCAGGCTAGAATGATTTCTTCCTTAAATTTAACTGACTCGGGAATTCTTTATCCTTCAACATTCAGCCTAAGTGTCCTCTATTATGTGTCCTCTATTATGCCTTACTTTCTTTACCACCCAAGAATTTCCCCTTTCAAGTTCTCATAATACCTTGTAATTTCCTTAGTTCGTAGTCCTTGTCACATTCCATTGTAATGGTTCATCATCTCCCATTAGCTTCTCATTTTTAGAGCAGTGGAGATAACGTTTATAAACTCAGTAGTGTTACCAGAGTCTAGCCAAGTTCCTCCCACCACAGAACAGTGCTCAATAAATATTGTTGAAAAAAATAATTAAATCAGCACTGAGGAAGTAAAATGCCTGAAAGACACTGTCTTTCAGAAGGGAGTTAACAGTGTTTTAATTTATAGTGTCTTTCCTGCAGTAGAGTTTCAAATAAATAAAAGAATTCCAGAGATGGTATTGCAATAGTTAAGAGGATGTGTACTTCAATATGTTCTACTTAGTATTATTAGCACTGTTGCTATAAGAAGTCAAGGTTTTTGCTTAAGTTGTTTTAAGGAGAATTATAATAGTATTGATTTTGGCACTGAGCAGTAATTTTTTATTTTATTTCTTTACCAGTTAATTTTAAAATGGCTTATTTGAATATGTACAGTCAAATAATTGCCTATGTACGTTAATGTTTTATATCTGTACATAGTATTCTGGGAAAATATGTATAAATGACTTCATAGTAGTATGTCGTTTTTAATGAGTGTTAATCATTGTTTAATTTATTTTTTTTGGATACAAGCTTGCTCCTCAGAAGTATCTGGTAGGCAACTACTTTTTAATAAAACAAATGTTATCTTTGAACTTTTTTATATGGTTGTCTGCAAGCTGTAATGCTCCTCATAAAGTTACACTTTTATGAAATATATTGCATTAATAAAATATTTTAGTTGATGGAGGAAATGGTTTTAGTTTTATGTTGTATTATCTATAGAAGTGATTTATATTACCATTTCTTTGTGATATTTTAGACAAAACACTGAAGTAGTGGGAGTTTTACAAGATAGCAGAAAACAGATTAGTACACACCACTTAAATAACCCAGGTTAATGAATGGTTTTTGAAAGAAAGTAGACTTGTAAATTTTGAATGGAACAGCTAATATTTTAATTAGATATTTACCTAGAAAGTTTATGTTCTATTTTACCCTATTTTGTTTCTCTTCTATTTTTTCTGACATCCATTTTTAAAAAGTTAAATAAAGTTGTGCTTTTATTGTAAAAGTAGTGTTAAAAAAAGAGGTGACATTTATCTCATTACAAAGACACTGGAGAACTCAACATCTGGAGGAGTTGTAATCTGTATAGTAATAGATTTTCAAACTCTTCTTACAAAGCATGAACGTGAACCTCTTTTATGCATTGGATAATGGCATACTATATAACAAAATGCTCTCTTTATAATAAGCAGTAATCTAGTTTAAATGGAACCCAAAATGCCTAATACATAAATTTACTAACTATGATTAGTGAAACATTCTTATTCATTGTAGAGTTGTCTGAATAACATGGAATAAAGATACGCCATAATTGAATTTTTAATAAATTTCCCTGATGTTTAAAATGAACTTTGTGATCTCATTTTTAAACTATGTGCTGTGTATAAATATATTTAAAAATATTTTGAGGGTAATAGAATTAAGGGGGTTTTTTAATGTACTTGTTGAAATGCATAAAAAATTGTCTCTTTGTTTCTTCTTTCTTCATTTCATGAATATGGTTAAATATCCCTATTAAACCAACCCTGGGTAAACATATAGATTCCTTTGGTAATGCTCATTTCTTTAGAATGCATTGTCATAGACCTTAAGTGGTACAAACTGAAGAGAAAACAAATTTACTTGGAAAATAAATAATAATTGAGTGTATTAGGGAAGAAATTGAGTTAATTTTTGGTGTGTCCTCCTTTTTGTGGGACCTAGTTTTCTCCAGTGTTGACCAGTGCAGAACAAAATATATTTGCAGAAAAATCCTTCAGGGTATTTTTCCCTAAGGAGAGTTACTAATCACTATTAGATACTTTGTAGATAGGTTCCATGATCATGTAAGTATTAATATTTTAATTAGATATTTACCCTAGAAGTTTATGTTCTATTTTGCTCTATTTTCTGTTTTTCTTCTATTTTTTCTGACATCCATTAAAGTGTTTATTTTTTAAGTATTAGAGGTATTATAGCTAAGAAGTATTAGAGCCAATATTCTAATTCAGATATGCCAAGCTCCAAAACCCATGACTATTTCAGCATATCATAATGGTTGTAATGGGTAAATGTAGATATTGCTTATATATTAGAGCACAACAAGAAAACGAAAAAATTGAGAACTTCAAGTATATGCTTTTCAGGGGACTCAGGAGCAAATGTACTGCAGTATTTGGATTTGACTGTCTGTCCCACTACTTATTTAATTAATTAGTTGCCAACACC